ACACTTACCATTGCCTCTCTCATTTGTCGTTACCTGTCAACTTCCCTCATCTCCTTCTCTCCAACTGAGCTATTGGAACTGGAAAAGTAAGAGCTCAGTAAGTAGTTGTTGACTTGAACTTATTAAAATGAACTCTCTGAGTTCACCACTTTCCTAAAGAAATTCCAAAACTTTTCAAGAAAACTTTAGAGCCACAGAAAATTACCATTTTTATTTAGTCAGTAAACTTTCCACCAGTTGAAAGACTCTGAATTGTTTAATTCCAGAAATGCCCAAAAGGAAATAAAAACAAAAGTTTGTTTTTTTTTTAAGCAGAAAAGTCTCACAATTCAGCTCTTTAAATTCTAATGTTAACTATGTAACCTGGTTGTAAGAGGAAACAAGTATCTGTAGTTACACCACTATGTTTTCATTAAAAAAAAACAGTATTATCTAATATTAATACTTAGGATAGTAATAACATCAAACACTGGATAAGTACTTACAAAGCAAAACACTGAACTGGACCAAGAGGTCTCTCTGCCTTGTAGGTTTACAAGCTAGACTGATGGACACAACACAAAGCAAAGTGAAGACAGATGCTGGAATGTGCAGAAGATGGTAGAAACAAACTCTAAACCTCACTTTGTTCTTTGAAGTTCAGACCTAAGAGTCTGAAGAGCTGTTCTCAACTGCCAATAACTGGAACAGGACACAAGTGACTTCTAAGGGCTCAGAGGATGACAGCTATTAGACATCAAACAGAATTCACAGCTAAGCACGAGATAGAACCATTCTGGATCTACCGAGATAGTGTCTGCTCCTAACAGTGGCAAAGCATGTAGGTGGGCTTTAGTTTGTCCTGAAGAGTCCAGGTGAAAGCTTCTCTTTTGTTCTCAGTGGCCTGGCCTGGTTTCCGACCTGCCGGTGAGATCTGTAAGAGGAAATCATTTTTGGTTTTCTTCCAACTTCTAACTCAATACCTTGGCAGCATTTGAAATGGATAAGAGCTTAAGCTCACATCTGTCTCAGGTGACAACTAAGATAAGAAGCACACAATGTAAAAATGATGAGAGCTTACGCTCCCCAAAAGCAAGTTTAAATGCAGCTTTTTAAAGGTAATTAGTTACTGCAACTTACACTAAGCCCAAAAATATCTTGCTAATACTGAAAAATTAAATTATTGGAGCCTTGTTCACAAACTTGTTTTAGCTGATATGTTTAGCAGTGTTTGTGAAAACTAATCACACATTAACTATTAGAATAAATTGGTAATCAAATACATCAGACCAGGACGAGCAGAAATATGGGGAAATAGTTTTTGCAGGTAAATAATATTCACTTCTGGTTAATAGTTTACTGTGACCAAGATGGGCTATTGGTTGCTTTTAATGAAATGTTGACGGGTCAAGGATTAATGATCGTTTACTGCACAACTCCCTTGTTTCAAGTACCTATGCTGCACTGGAGGAGTCACAAAAGCATGTGATACAGGTCCTGCCCTAAAGGAGCTTTGTAATGTAGTTGAAATGAAAAAGTAAAAACAAGGAAGCATCAGAAGACAACATAAAACAATATGTAGTAATTCTTCAATTGTGAGGCACAGACAATAGGAGCTTTAGAATTTTAAGAACTGAAAAGATCTGTGTTTACTAGAACTATTTAATAAAGAGGATGGAACTTCATTCAGAACTTACTCAATAGTTCCTGGATATGCATGCTTGAAAAGGCATTCTTGGAAGGGCAGAGGAATTAACTAAGGCACAGAAGTAGGATAATAATATAAGCCAAAGAAAAAAGACAGGCTGATTAGACTAGAGATTCATATTGAAAAAAGATGAAAATTAGGTTGGCTAGGTAGGTAAAAACCAGCAAAATTTAACACCACTTTGTACACCTTCATTATTTACTATGTGTATATTAAATGTATTGAATTGATGTGGTAAGTAACAGGGAGCCCTGGAGAAGGTGACTGAGATTACATATTGAAGCTATTTGTTTTTTTGTTTTTGTTTTTAAAGATTTTTATTGGGGAATTAGGGGGATGGGAACAGTGTTGGGGAATTGGAGGAAGGGGACCAGACAAGGTGCTGTCGTTATGTTCTTCAGTCTAGTTGTGGAGGACGTTGTTTCACTGGCCCAAGTTGGCACCATCATTGTGCTCTTCCCGGGGCGAGGCCGACCAGTCGCTGGTTTCTGGATGGCCACTCACTGCGGCTGCTGGCCGCTCACGCTGGCTGCTGGCTACACACGGTAGCCCATGGCAACCCACTGCCACAGGGGCTGCAGCC